GAGCTTCTTTTTATAATTCGGTTTTTACTTCTAATGAATATGAACTACGGCGACGGTTCTAGTATACGTGGTCCAGATGACACTTCTTCACTCGATGACATTGCCATTTCTTCATTGACAACACCGTTATCTTCGCCAATATCCGGGATCGACAAGACAAGAGGTGAGCCGGTAGATACCTCTGACGATGAAACGTTAGACCTTCTTCGAAGAAGAGAATTTTCGCGTCCGTTGCCGTATCACTTGAGGGGTATGGAGCTTCGTGAACAACTCCGATCAACTTTGGCAACTAAAAGAAGTAAAAGGTTCAGGCTGAGGCCGTCGAACTCTTTGATCTATAAATACTACTCGTTCCTTTGAATGCGGGTTTTCAGAAGACAACGACACTTTCCTAAAATCCAAAATTATCTCTGTTAAGGGCCGGTATCAAACAGAATAAGATCATGTTCCTTAAAGGTTCACTTTCCAATTATCACAATTATCCACAAGATCCTGATGATAATCTACAATTTAGTTATCTCTTTAATAAAATAGTATCGTGATAATAGTATCGCGTAATTTAATTATTAAATCTGCCGCACAAAAATAAAATATTAATAAAATTTTAGCTGATGCAGAATGCGAAGGGAGGGGAGGGAGTGACACGATAGGAACACACCCCCTCTCCCCCTTTTTCCTCTTTCCCCCTCCTCTGTTTGTCTCTCTCATAAACGTTTTTTGGTGACGTGGTCACGCACGTAAAGAAATAAGAAAACTATGTTGCAAGACAAGACTTAACATTAGCTGCGAAAGAGACTACCTTCTTACGTTAACCATGCAGGCTGACTTTACAAGTGAAGCGGGGTGCGGTCAATTATAGGGTTAAATTCGCAACGACGTGGCTAACCAGTTTCTGGCTAATCAACAAAAGGCAAGATTCGCAGTTAAGCCACCGTGGTACCTTCCTTTGGATGTACTTCACACTTAGCACAGATATCCCACGTTCGTTCTGTTGACAAATGGTACATCAATTAAGAATTCCAGCAAAAAAAATAATACATTTAAGATAGAGACTGCATCAAGACCAGTTGAAGAATAAAGTAAGTTCTTACACTACAAAAAGATATAAAAAAAAAATAAATAAAGCAAAGTCAAATTATATTACCTTTTCGCGCTTTAACTTTCTGTTTCTTCAGGATGATGCTTTTTTCATCTCTCGCAGCTTTGCCACCTCTTTGCTTCTTTCCTCCTCTTCTCTCACTTGGTGGAGTGTTCGTTTGACTGAGGTATTTTATCTGAAGTAATGGTACAATTGTGAGATAAATGTGTGCGCTCAGTGAGTAACTTTTTGGCTCCATGAAACTTCATGTGAAATACAATGACCGGATTTTACATTTTTTTTTTTGAGACTGAAGCACCTTCGACTTCAAGCCTAAGATCGCTCCTATG